TAACGTTCTCATTTTAGAGTGATTTTTCGGAGTTGACTTAGGGTGTTCCTGGAAAAAATAGTTTTTTAGCAATAACTTTTTTATTTGAAAATTCTCATGAAAATTATATTCTAGAGACTTTTAAAACTCTTTAAGACAAATGTTTTATAGCCGAGTTTGTTGCCTGTATCTCTTCTAATAAAAAAAGAGATACTCAAATATAGTAAAAATATGTATAAATTCAAATTGATTTTATACGAGTTTAAAAAATAACATACCTTTATTTTTTTCATATTATTGAGAATAACATACGCCCTTTCAAATGCTGCAGAAAAACTTTTTTTTTGTTTGCCCCAACCAGAGATATGAACATTTGAAAAGTGCATATTTTAAGTATACAAACGTCAATAACTCTTGATCGGTGAAAGATATTGACAAGTTTTTTGCATTAAAAATTTGCGCCTTTTTAAGATCTAAAAGTTATCTCAAGACTCCTTTGCTGAGAAATCCGAAATAAGATAAATAGAGCAAAAAACTGTTTTTTTAAGAGCCACCCTAACTCAATTCAAGAAAATAGCTCTAAATCGACCAATTTAAGAGATACAAAAAAGTTATATCCAACAAAGTTGCTTAAAATTAGCTCAGCTATAACTTTGCCGAAGAATGTATACCTTAATTTATTCAAACAAAAAAGTTAGATTTTTGATTTGATTGATAATAAGAACCACCCTAGAATTCATTGCCATAAAAATGAGGGCCTAACTATAAGGAACAACTTTGTAGAAGAGACTTTTAGTCTAAAGTTTCAATTTCAGGCTCAAAACATATCATTCCACCTAAATCTGCACTCTGTACCACTGTGCACTGATACCAGCGCTCATTTCTGAAAAAAAAACTTATAATTTATTCATTGCTTGCAAAAAGAATAGATGAATCAGGGCACATGTATCAGTATAAATCAAATTATAAAACTCTATAGTGTGAAAAAAATCAACAAATTGAAAAATTTACTCGGATTCGTATGTTTGCGAAAAGAATTATTTCGCGAAGTTCTCTTTGGCGCAATTCCGATTTGCAGAATCCTATTTTGCGGTATAAGGATAAAATTTCTGCAAGATAGGACATTACGCGAAATGGGATATTCTGCCAAATAATATTCCGCTTGATGAAATAGGTTACCCCGTAAATCGCTATTGAAATGCCACTGCCGTCAAACTATAGGGCGCCTTGATTATGTTGAGCCGACTCTTTCAATTAGTAATGGATGAAATGGTTTTGCAGAACATACATGTATACCACATTTTTTTTGACCATGTCAAACAGTGGAATTTAAATTGAAGTTCAGTACATACCGTGCACTGGTAGTGGCAGTGTCCATGATGTCTTATTGGCTAAACATCGATTTCAGTGACAAGGATTCTTTGTTCACTGTGTTTCATAACTTTGACTATTCGGTCAGCGACAACTTCAACCCCAGTTCCTGTTATGTTAAGTACTATCCACACAATTAGTTTTTTTTCTACCGAACTCGGCTGAGCAAATCTCGGCAGGCCATTACCACTTGTACCTGTACAACCTCTAGTGCTACATGCATTCCACAACCAAGTCACTGGTATCACATGTTGTTCAACATTGAATTTATGAAGTTCTTGTAAATGTAAGAAGATTAATTACAGATCATCGAAAAAAAAAAATAATTAAAATTTGTTGCATAACATTTTTTTGAAACATTCACAAACCGGAAGCCACCATTTTGGATTCCAAAATTGCGTGAATCATCGATTTCTGGCCTCTACACGTCGTTCCCGTTCCGAAAATATCCATATCGTTGGCTATTTGACAGATTTTCACAAAACCGGAAGCCGCCATCTTGGATTTAAAAATGGCATGAATGATCGATTTCCGGCCTCTGCATGTCGTCTCGGTTCCGAAAATATCCATATCGTTGGCTATTTGACAGTTTTTCACAAAACCGGAAGCCGCCATCTTGGATTCCAAAATGGCATGAATCATCGATTTCCGGCCTCTGCATGTCGTCTCGGTTCCGAAAATATCCATATCGTTGGCTATTTGACAGTTTTTCACAAAACCGGAAGCCGCCATCTTGGATTCCAAAATGGCATGAATCATCGATTTCCGGCCTCTGCATGTCGTCTCGGTTCCGAAAATATCCATATCGTTGGCTATTTGACAGTTTTTCACAAAACCGGAAGCCGCCATCTTGGATTTCAAAATGGCATGAATCATCGATTTCCGGCCTCTACACGTCTAGATTATACCATGCAAGAGTGAAAATGGCTGAATTCCAACACAAACCTGGTTCATTGTCTGGCTTTGTGGAAGCCAGCTGCTTTCAAGATGGTTAGGATTTACAAATGAGAGAAAATTCCGTAATGGTGTGATCAAAGCATTCGGAAGGTCTTTACCTCCAGAAGAACTTTATCATGAACGAATATGTTCTAGGTGATCATGACTTACAAGTACCTAATAAAATTCCATGCACACTGCTCAGTTTTTTTGTTATGATGAATTTTGAAATAACACGGGTTTATCACACGGTTTTTTGAAACAACGCGGTTTTTTTTACACGGTTTTTTGAAACAACGCGGTTTTTTTACACGGTTTTTTTTTACGCGGTACGTATCCCCCGTGTAAAAAAAGACTTGAGTGTATTTGACATCCTCAAGATAAAACGTAGATAGCTCGGACATTCTCCTGCAAATACCTCTGAACGTTCTTCAGCGTAAGTTGCGGCACTTTGAAAATCGAAAGGAGACGAGAACAAAAACAGAAGGAGACGGTAAAGAAGCAGAACAAGAATAAACCAAGGCCTCATAATGATATGAATAAGTACGATGCTCTGATAGTCGAAGTTAAAGACGCAATTCATCGAAAAGTGACAGAAGATCCGTAGTCAAAGGAACCAAGAGACAACACAATGTGGTGCGACTATTTGCAAAACCTGTACAGGATTCTGGAGTACGTTGAAAATGACCAACAAAAGTTTCCTTCGATCAATTTCAAGACTTGTGACGCTTTGATTTGACATCATGTACGTTTTAATCTGCAATAACAAATGCAGTTTGACAAGCATTTCGTCGTCATCTGATTTTATGTTTGATACAGTCTAATTAAAAAATAGTTCATCGTAAATATGCCGAAAATTCGCATTATATGCGATTTAATTTAAATATAATGGGATGTATCTCATTCTTATATGTAACGTTGACTTTATCAGAAGGAATTTACGATTCTATCTATACATTGTTATCCAACTTCTGGTCTACAAAAAAAAACATGGGACAGAGATCGATTAGGATCACTTCAGGAGTTCCACAACGCCGTGGAACGGGATGTTCACCGGTACGCTTTTTTTTTTTCACTGTTCGTGAAATAAATCTACTGCGACCAGCAGTTTGATTGACCTATTGTAGTATATTCCGTGTCCTTAGTTTAGTGCATGTCGTATTACTCCATAAGTATTGAGAAATGATGAAGTATTCGGAATTTATACAGTTGTCATCCTTGCCTTTATCGCAAGGAACCAATTCTAATTGAAAGGTCTCACTTTTTATGGTTGATGCATATATTATGTCACGCTCTAAGGGGGGAGGGGGGACTAAGATTTGGTGACAAGCAGTGCATTAGGTATAGGAAAAACTTCACGATAGGGGGGAGGGCGTAATTTTTTGCTCGATTTAGCGTGACATAATTAATGCATGGGCCCTTATACCCACCAAAGAGTTAGAGCACCCTCCAAAGCGCGCCTCTTTGTCAGTCAAATCGGATTTCTTAGCAACAAAATCAAGCAATGACACTGGTATTGACCATGCATCAAAACCCTAGTCTTAACCACTTCAAACAACGAACTAGAGAGCAACGAATACACGGCAAATGAGAACAACCCTAAATTGAGTTCAGTTCACTCATATTCGTGAAAAGTGCAGGAACACAGCGATGAGTTAATTTGCCTCATGTTTTTCTGTGGAAAACCTCAAAAATCTGCCCGAAAATGAGGAACATTACCACATTATCGCAATGATTTTTACTTTTCTCATATTCGGGATTTTTTTCCTGGACAAACCTGGAAAAACCTACAAAAACCTGGAAAAATATGAGGCAATTTAACATGCGCTTTATGTGATTAAGAGCTAACTAAACTCAAATTTGGAATCATAGAAATGTAAAATGGTAGCTATAAAAACGTAGTATTAAAACGATTAAATGTTCCTTAAACCTTGGAAAAATGTTCCTTTACTGGGAAGCTACTCAGATTTACTGTCCTGCGCTTGTATTTTTTTTTTAGTCAGGGCAGTGGATCGTCGAGCAAGCGTCTAGAATGAGCTGCCAAAAGAAGCCTTTTTTAGAATTCCAGGTACCGAGTACGCAACAAAAAAGGCTATCCGTAACTACTATAAATTAAATGCTATTAAACGAATGACTGCAAATTGCATACGAACATTTTGTCTGCATCATTTGACTTTCAAAGTACTACGATTTTCTGTTTCGAAACAATTTCGCAAAAATCCATAATTTATTCTTAATTAATATGATTCATACGAGTGAGTGTGTATGCAAATTATAGTTTGTTCCATGTTCGTTAAACTTTTAACACATCGTACTACGTAAATCTCCGTTCCCGTAAACCTGTTACCAGTTTCGAGAGGAGCAATAGAGAGAGTAAGAGTCTTCTACATAAGTACAGTAAGAAGTAACGCAAAGGCGCTCTGTAATTTGCATAAATATATGCCTGTCTGCTGTGTGGCATCCAGCCAATCGTCCAGAAAATATTTTGCATTTCTTACAATGTTGCATCAGGTAAATATATGTTTTTGACAAAGTGTCAATTGAAAACCGAAAAACATATTTCTTACCGCAGGAGTAGTTGCTCTAAGACATAATGCAGTTCTTTAAAAAAAAAATCAACCACACATTTGCTTTAGAAAAAACATATAAAAAATACATACGTAATAAGAATTGAAAATTAATGCTTTCTGTATTTTTTTCTTTCTTTTTTCCAGATGCATCCTCATCAAACGAGGCCGTCCACCTACAACAGAGACTGAAGAGCCTTAGCTCTGAACTGGTAACTTTAAGGAATCGTCTTCACACCGGTGCCGGACAGACAACACCGGCCTCAGCCGCTGCGAGCGGTCCCAATGGTACCGTCTCCGTGAACAACTCCGTAATCACGCCAGCCACAACGCCAAATACTAACCCTCAAACGCTCGGTGGTCACGGAACGACGGCCACCAATGGAAGTCCAGGGACAGGAGGAGGTCTCTCAGCGACGACAGTGGGTGCAAATGGGATCAACATTCTGTCACACCTGAACTCCACTACCAACGGTGCCAGCTGCAATAACAACACCACAAATGGCAAGGTACGTTTCAGCGAGACCCACAATTGATCACCCTCCAGCTGGCGTGCTCACTCATTGCTCTAACAACTATCATTAAGTCAGTTCGATCGGTTTGATTTATATAAAAATTGCCTGTCTTAATGTGTCCTATATTTTTACATCTCTCACCTTCAACCGTTCCAATCTGTGCCTTAATTTTACAGAGCCCAATGATAGTGACACCAGCGCAATGCATACCTCCAAACAGCACCACACTGAACCACCCGAGTAATGTCATACCACTAGTTTCACCAAGAAATACCTCGATACCATACCCACTGCCCCATCACAACAGCACCGGAACGATACTTCTAGGAGGTAAGTGGAACTCGACGATTTCCCATTTGTCTTCTGCCTAGATCAACCGCATTGGCATATTCCATTACATGCTCCACTCAGAGCATAATAATAAACATAAATCTCCTGACAGCATGCGCTGGTAGTAAACTTACACGAGTGGTAACTTAACCAAGTAACTCTGCCGCCGAAATCCAACCAGAATCAACATAGGATTCGATGCTGCCACTAGTTGCCTGCGACTGACTGAGGTGAGGGCACACCGAAAGGGGTCTTTGCTTTGCCGAGCTCTCGCTTAATGATAATTATATGGCATCGAGAGCACATGACGTTCACTTTGTTTTTCGTTCGGTACAACATGATGGGGTGTTGTTGTTCAATTTCAGCAGCAACTGTTGCTGTTGTTTTTTCTCTGTTTCAGTCGTAAAATTCATTATAATTTCATGGCAATCAAATTATGGGTTCACACACAGGTTTTTCATGCCAGCGAGTAGCCTGGTACAATCCCGTTGGAATGAATAAAAAAACACCACTACGGAGAGGGTTTGTTTTGTATGCTAAGCCTAGTGAATATTGAAAAGTTTGACGTGGAATTTTCGGAATGGTCTTAAAGCGCTGAGTTTTACTGAAGACGCACAGTAAAATATAAAAGGGATCTCATTAACACACATCTTGCACTAAAATTGATCTAAATTGCTAGGTTAATTTGCAGTGTACTAGAGTATTCAGCTAAGCATTATCCGAGACTCAGCAATCAAATGTCACTTTTGCTGAGATCTCAGTGAAACTTATTTTTGCCGAGATTTGCACAGCCGAGCTCGGTAGAAAAAACTAAGAGTGTATGGAAGCTAAAATTAAGGAGAAAGTAATGGTGTATAATTCATTACCATGTTTTCTACGAAGATCGAGTGATTCGAACTACAAAACGATGATTTTTCATGATTTTCAAGGTATTTTATAACTCGGCATTGGCGTAGCTACTGGGTGCCAAGGGAGCCAGGCCCCCAAGTCAAATTGTTTCGTATTTTTCGAGGTTACTGAAAACTTCTGCGGAAAACAAAACAAGCTGTCAAATGTCAAATGGTGCAAGTTTACTATTAGTTCCGTACGAACTTTTTAGCTACTTCAAGTTCAGATAGGGTTCTACATGAACTAATCAGAGACTTTGAAGTTCAAAAAAAGTTCTTTCGGAACTTGAAAGTAGATTTGGCTACTCTGAAACCTATTTTTATGAATGAAATCAACACATCGAGTAAAATCATATGATATTCCACATCGTTCACATAGAGCAGTGGTATATATCTCGGTTTCAAAAAGGAGGACTCGAATTCGAGACTTGCGGTTAATAATTTAAAAACATGTAGTTTAAATTAAATATTTGACCATATTTCAAACATTTATCTTCCGACGACGCAGCAGCTCATAATAAGTTAGGAGAGAACGTGGTAAGCAGCAAAATAAAAGATATATTTCTTTTATATTTTGGTTTGTTGATTTCATTCAAGTTTTCTTTTTGGGCTGAATAGCGATTAAACGAACCTTTTGTGAACTTTCAAGTTCTCTTTAAAAGTGAAACAGCATTCTGGTAGAAGCATAAACATCGAATGTGAACTTGGAAGTTCGGTTAATTACTTAAAAAGTAAGCTGAATAGAATTCTATTCATAATCCTTCGATTGGCTGATTAAGCCAAAAAAGTGCTTTTGTCCGAACTTTTGGTTGCTTGGGTAGTTCCGTTAGAATACGGCAGTGTGACAATAGTGTATAGAAAGTAGAAAGCGAGCAAGGACAACTTTGAGGAAGATACGAATCGGGTTGATCATTTCTCTTTACCAAACTCCCCACGCAGTTGGAGAGGGATGGTAAGAGCTACATCCCCCTCTTCCGCCATCACTGGCAAAAAAAGATGAACACCGATTGGCTCATGTACCTATGATGAGTTTGAAGCAGTTCTATCGATTGTTTCGCACTCAAGTTGTTATCTGAAGGGAAGCATCTAGCTGTAGGTTTGAAAATTGCCACTGTTTGTGCTCCTGTCATCGTCAACTTGACAATCTCGAGTAGACACAGGTATGCAATTTTCACACTGCCATACTCTAACGGAGCTATCATCTCTATACTTTCATCTCCTTATCTATCGTATAAAATTACAACTTTTTTATTTGAAATTTAGCATCTTCAACTATGTAAAATCGTTAACTTCACTCAGAAGTAATACCAACAAAATAGTTAAAGTACATAATTCAAGTTGGAGCTTACCATCAATGATACTGTGATTGGTTGAAAGGTACAGTATCAACACCTCCCCTACCCGTGTCTCCTGTAGATCTTCAAGTCGATGATGACAAGAGCACATACAGTAATAGAGGTAACAATAGCTGCAATTTCAGATAAGAATTTGAGTGCGATACAATCGATAAAACTGTTTCAAACACATTGTAGGTACATGAGCAAATCGATGGTCATCTCTTTTTGCCAGTGTTGACGGGAGGGTGGTGGGGTATATACTCCTCACCATCCCTCTCCAACAGGGGTGTTTGGTAAAGAGAAATTTTCAACCCGATTCATACCTTCTTCAAAGTTGTCCTTGCTCGCTGTCTACTCTCTATACACAATTTTCACACTGCCGTACTCTAACGCTATCAACTCTATGCTTTCATCTCCTCATCTATCGTATAAAATTACCACTTTAATGGTGGTAAGCTCTACCTGGTATTATCCTCGCATTAAATCCCGACCAAGAATGTTCGGCTGCTTTGAAGTCGACATCAGATTTAATCAACATGACTCTAAGCAAACATTTTTTAGATCATCCAAACGGGGACGGGTTTAAAAGTTAATCCGAGTTGGAGCTTACCGCCATAAATCTGTTATTTGAAATTTAGCATTTTCAACTATGTAAAGCAATGTGAGTTGATAAGATTTTTTTTTTTTTCCTTTGTTGGGTACATTTTTCCACTGCGACCAGTTAATTGATCTATTGTGGCGGGCCCCGGTTTAATGTATGCCACATCAGGGTGTTGTATCACTATTTGTTTGAGTGATTTCCACTAGCTGACTATAGGCATTGTCCCAGTAAGGTATTATAGAACGAATGAACTTTATTGCCTTACTGGGATAAGTCATCCATACTTCTGAGGGCTGTATTAAACCCTTATCGAAAAATGTTTTCCTTTTATGAAAAAGTGCTGCACAGTTACATAGTAAATGTTCCGAGTTTTCACTCTCTAGGTTGCAGAATCGACACTTGTCATCTTCCAATTTGCCTAGCTGTTTTAAATAATATTTACTTGAACAGTGGCCCGTAACTAGGCCACTAAAAGTACATAGATCTTTTTTGGAGAGACTAAGAATTCTTTGAGTTGCTCCTTTATTAGGTGATATAAATCTTTTGGACTGTCGAGCTATTTTAGTGTTTTTCCAAATGTTATCTATCATCGATTTTTCCCAGTTTTTTAGTTCCATTTTGAGGGTACATTCTGAGGCCCCACAAAATGGTTCTGGACCTAGAAATGGTTTTGATGATCCCAATCTTGCTAATAAATCTGCCTTTTCATTACCTTCAACCCCACAGTGCCCAGGTACCCAAAATAAGTTAACTGTACTATTTCTACCAACCGGCTGTAGTAATTGAATGCATTCTCAAACCAGTTTAGAACAACATGTTACTGACCTCAATGCTTTTAGGGCAGCTTGACTGTCAGAGAAAATATATATATTTGTATGTTTGTAATTACGACGTAAACAAACCGTACCACATTCAATAATTGCCTGTATTTCTGCTTGAAATACGGTTGGCCACTTACCCATAGATATTGATATGTTGACACCAGGACCCGTTACCCCAGCGCCAACTCTGTTGTTTAATTTGGAGCCATCAGTGTAGAAAATTACTGATCCTGGTTGAATACTAGGTCCCCCTGATTCCCATTCAGTGCGACTAGGTTCAGTGACGTTGAATAGTGTTTCAAAGTTATACTGTCTATTCATCCAGTCTTCATGAGTTAATAAAGAATTAATTTTAAATTCCTTCAAAATACTGAGATGACCCCTAAGGTCCCCATCAAAAAACTGTTTTGTTCTTTTTAACCTTAGTGCGTTTCTTTCGGCTTCTAACTGCACAAATATATGTAAGGGAAGCAGATTTAGCATTGTATCTAGCGCTTTAGAGGGCGTGCTACGAATTGCTCCTGTGATGGAAATTGTAGCAAGTCCTTGCAACTTTTCGAGTTTTTTTTTTGAGCATATTTAACTTTTGTTTTTGGCCACCAAACTAATGATGCATATGTTATTCTGGGTCTTATTATAGCCTTATAGATAAAATCGATCATTTTAGGTTTCAGTCCCCATTTATTACCAAATATTTTTTTGCTTATCCATAGGGCATTTGTAGCCTTGCTTATTATTTTATTCAAATGTAAGTTCCAATTGAGTTTGCTATCAAGAATTACTCCCAGATACTTAACCTTTTGAGAAAGGACTAATTTAGTATCCTACAAGTGCAAATCTGGTATTTTTATTTTCCTTTTATGTGTAAATGGTATAATAGTAGTCTTATGAGGGTTTATGGACAACCCCTCATCTTTACACCACGCCATCGTTAAATTAAGAGCATATTGTAACCTATCTCTGATAACGTGTTCATATTTCCCACGAATAATGATTACTATGTCATCGGCAAAACCAATTATTTCAAATCCTTGCGCTTCGAGATGTAATAGTAGTTCGTCGACTACCAGTGACCACAGCAAAGGTGAAAGAACCCCTCCTTGTGGGCAACCCTTTACGGTCCTTACCGTGACCGTTGAACTACCATGACTGCATGTTATTTCTCGTTTTTGCAACATTTCAAAAATCCAATCTATGATAGTTTTATCAAAATTTCGTTTTAACATAACGTTCATAATGAGATGCATTGTCAAATGCTCCTTCAATATCTAGAAACGCAGCTAACATAATCTCTTTGGCTTCAAAGGTTTTTTTTTTCAATTTTTGTCACTAGTGTATGAAGTGCTGTTATTGT